GGTGGTCTGGGGGCCATAATTATCCCATTCTCGTTCCCAGACCCACTCGTCAAGTGGAAGAAAGATGAAGTTTCACTGGCTTCCCTCGACAGCTCTTCAGACTGCATTCCTTGAATTTTTGAAAGTACACTGGAACAAGAGCCCGCCCGAGTTTGCGTTTCTGATCCATCGTTGCTGTTATCTAGAACAACGGAACTAAATAATGATTGAATGCTTTCAGGGCTACTGCACACATCCAAAGAGCGGCAATGATCAGAATTGTCGTTTTTGATTTCCACATTTAAACCTGAGTTTGATTTAGTTTCGTTGATAACTTCAGCCTCTCTTTCGGAATCGCTCGTCGACTCGCCCCTGGTCTCTGATTTCCACCATCCGTTGCTAGGCAACACATCGTAGTGGTCGCTATCCAAAGTTAATGGAAGCCTTTCAAATTTCAATCGCTCCTTTCTAGCGCCGTTTTTACTAATTGAGCGTGTCGGCCGACATATTTGAGGCGGAGTGCTCGGCTTCTTTGTCGCAAACACGGTGGAAGGTTTTCCATTCACTGGGCAACTCGATTTGAATTGTAAACTTTGTGACTTATATACCGATGTGTTGGGACATTTTAGTGCAAGCTGTCTAAGGTATCCTTCTCTAACCGTTTTGCATTTCACCGCTTCTTCTCCGTCCTTCCCTGCTTCAAAATAATCACGCCTTTCTCTTCTTTGAACGCTTGCCCTGACTTGATATATTGCCGCGTTGTTTTTAAGCAGTCCGCCTAGATGTTTTGACAAACAATCGTTGATGTCTCTTTTAAGGAGTGCGTCGAGATTATGAAAAAGCTGATCCATAGAAATTCTATTAATCTTTTGGGATCGTTCTTCATCGTTGATACGAGCTTGCGTTGGAGGAAAAAATTTCCAATCCATTTTCTACTGTGGCGATAAAATTATATTGCATTCAGTAGTACAACTGTTATCAAACGAAGTATTTCCTTACGAATGTTAATGTAGTACCGCCACCTGTACCTTAAAATCCGCGCGGGGAATATTGCCAATTCTGAATAGACTACTAATGATCTGGATTTGTGACTGGCAATCACTTTGAATGCTAGAATTATAAACCTGCCTCGTGAGTAACAAACACTGTACAGACCTATGTCTAACTTTCTGTCTTGGATTTCGCGAGGTATGCTGGGAAAACATTCTTGGTCAAAAGATATCCTACAATTTACATTCTTACCTTGTAAGTGGAAAGAGAAAGTCGATATGAGCCTGCGCTCTAATTGGAGAAACAACGTGGCTTTGCGCAGCTTGTGTTGATGTTTTGTTTGTTTACAGTCTTATTTGCTTGAAGTATTTAAGATAAAGATCAGGGCCGAGTTGTTCAAAAGCCGGTTAACGCTAACCCAGGATTAAAAGTTAACCGAAGATTTAATTTTTCTTGTATCAAAATGTTTTTCACTACTTCTGTTTTGTGTAGTTTGAGATTATTCAAACTCAAAACTGAAGAACAAACAATACAAACAGAAAACCTCAGCGAAAAGTTACAAAATTGAAATCAAAATTCTCGCTAACCTTGGGTTAGGTTAATCGGGCTTTGAACAACCCGGCCCTGCTGTACTTTGGCATGTATGGGAGCTCTATATTAACAGCTCCAGCACGTTAAGAGTAAAACCAACCTCTGCGGCTAATCATTTGAATAACAATCATAATTAGCAACTCTTACCAATTCAACGACTTGCTAAGCTGTGTTTTGAGGTCACAATAATTACCATAATTATCTTTGTCTTTTGCAACTTATTTCAAATTCAGAAAATATCTCTCTTCCGGTTGAAGTTCAAATTAATGGAAGAAACTCGAAGCCGACAAACATCCTCGTTGAAAGGAGCTGATTTCCAAGTTGTGTGGGATCACATGTGGCAGTTTTTGTTAGAATGACAAATTTTGGCCGGTGTTAATTCACTTGAGATAAAAAATTAAAACGTGTTAGAGACAATTTTAAGTTTATTCGTTAGAGAACACTTGATCTTCAACGCTTGTTCGGACAGACATTCCAATTTTATAATATGCACAAATCGAGCTTCCAAATTTATTGTGAACCTTGTAAAACTGAAGAATATCTTACTAACAGGAAGATACAGAAATAACGTGGAAATGCCTCTACACGTGAACGTTTTTGGCGCCGTGTGATTTTTAAACCGATAGATGCAAATGAAAGTTGAATCTAAACTTTAAAACTGATGCTTCGACCCATGCCGTGAACAAACTGTAAGCAGTGCACGAATCACTGGCTGTAGATTAGTCAGCCAGCCGTGTGTTTATCAAAGAATCTCTCAAGACCGAAATAACCTAAATCACCTGTGTTAACGAGCAATAAAAACATGCAACATTCGGCTATTTTAACATTTACGTTGCCATTGGTGAATTATGCCTGTCTCACAATTTAAGAGAAATGTCTTTTTTATTCTGTTGTTTTCGCTCTTTTTTCTCGGTTTCATAATTACAGGTTTTCACTCACACCAACAGACTGGAAATTGGTTGAAAATTCAAACAACTTTTTTCATTGTTTTACATTATAAGTGTCCTAAAGTTTTCTTTTTAAATTGAGTATACTGCCTTATCTATTTGATAACACTATCACCAAATTAATCTTTCTTTCATGAAAGTTTTGGCACAACGTAGGCTCTGGGTATAGTTAGATAACGCTAAAAAATATTCTATAATGACGAGAAAAATTACATTCAATGTACATTATTCTTCTCAGTTGAGCGACGGCCTCACAAATGTACTTAATTTTGTTGATTATAATGTCTGGTTTGCGATTACTAAAACTTTTGGATCGCCGCAATTTAAGACCACAGAGGTCTCGCCTCAAATAACTAATAACACATTTGAAAACTTTGTTTATTGTTTGTATTGTTGATTTTATCGTTTGAACTTGTCATCAATTTGCCTGAAATATTTACTTCTTTTGGCGGTATAGTTTTGTCCTAGTTCCCTCAAGAACGAAGAATTAAAAAAGTATTCCCCCTTCGCGGTCTTTGCAACCAGTTTATACGATAAGGTTCAAGGCATTATTAAAATGTGTTATTATGATTCCTTAGGGAAGCTGCACTCGAGAAGGACCTAATTATTTTTCTGAAAAATCTTTCCGAGGCATTTCATTAAAATATCTGCAGGATATCGGTATTATGGCCTAAGCTCTGTGGGTTTAACTCCAAACTTTTACCATAGCATAACAATTTTGTTGTCTCGACTTAAATTCTTATACGCTTAAAACTGGTTAGTTTAAATTCAGACGGATTCCGTAAGGTACAGGATTAATTTGCTATTTTTTGCTGAAATTCCATCACTTTCGGGAGAGTCAGCTGAACATATTGTGTTTGATTGTTTTGTTAGCCATACCTACCCCCTGTAAATATTAGCTTAAATCAATCAAAGAAACATGAAGAAATATGAATATCGTCAAAGATGATTTGTAAGGTGATGAAAAATGAATCGAACCCGGCCGGCGAAGTACTTCACCGAACTTCATACCTTTCTAACTTTACATGAGTTCTGAGTGGATTATACAAAAACACAAGAGTCCAGTCATATTTAATTGATCTGCTTTCAGGCGTGTCGCAAAAAATAAACATCAACCAATTCAAATGTTCCGTCAGGCGACCTGCAGTTCGTACCAAATTTGGCCCTGGAAAAATGAAGCCGGCGTGGTCGCGACTTTCATCGAATATCTTCATTCTATTGCAAGGGGAAAAAATAATCGATAAAGATCTGTAGTATCTAGAGATTATTTTAGCGAAATCTTGAATAACAGGCTAAAAAACTCCTTAAACAAACAGTTCGTGTGGTGTGTCTGAAATCAACCTGGAATAAATCTTTCTTAAAATAATATAACTGTGATTCTAGTTAGATTCCTGTTCTTAGCTTTTGAGAACTGTGGTCAATTATGAACAAAGCGAGAACAAGATTAAACCAACGGGAGATCACTCGTTTAAAATGGTAGGACAAAGCAAAAACAATCAGATTGGAAACACAAGCTACGAAACAGCTGGCCGACGACTCCACTGAATTACTGCGGGGAAAGTAACGAAATGTTAAATCATTTTACAGAGAAAATGCTTTCAGTTACTTCACCTGCATGTCGAGTCTCCTTTCTCTTTCGTTCTCCGTGAAGAGTTTTTCTTAACATTTTAAAAGTCAATTCTCTTTTTTCCTTTTTCATTATCGCCACAGGCGAAGCTAAATTGGAGTAGGATAATGCTATTTGTGTCCACATGGAAAATTCCCCTTCTTCTATTTTTGTATTTCCTGTACTTCTAGAAGCAGCACGCTTTGTTTTCAACTCGGTTTATACAGAAGTCGCGCGCGCGCGCGCAAAGAAACAAAAACCCACCTCAGTGCTTTCTTTGATTTCGGTTAATTTTACGATTTAGAACGTTGCGATAGATACCGGCAAAAAAAATATCCACAATCGACGGAGCTGGTGCATATTTAAGCACTCTTTTTCAAAACATTCAAGCCATTAAAAATTTAAAAGAAACAAGAATTAGAATGCTTCCTATTCTGTTTAAATATTTCTTCCTAACAAAGGTTTTCGCTTTTGTTATTGGAATCTTGAAAGTATTGTTAGTAAAGGAGAACAACACTGCGATGCTGGCTAAAAAGGAATATTCAGATCACTTTGATTTTAACATGATGAAAAAATTTAATTTAAATTTTCAAGCGCGTTTGCTTAACGTTGTTATCGCATTCGATACTAAAAAATATATTTTTAGGTTTGAAGCTTTCGCGTGAAAAAGAAAAAATTTAAAACGAGGCGAATCGTTCGAAAAACAAACATTATTACTTCTATGATTCTAATGTTTATATTTCTTCGTAAGAGACTCTTGTGCGCTTATCTCACAGAGTGATTTAAATTTGCCGATTTAGATAAAATAAACCTCATATCAACCGGAGCTAAATTTTTTAGAAGGTTACTTTTCGAGCGTTCGCGGTTTCTCCCGCTTAAAATTTTCATACCTGTTTTCTCGCGATGTTTCGCGAGCAAACATGAGCGGATTTCTTTGCCAAATTATCAGTGCTACGTTTGTTTAAAACCACTGAATAGCCGCGAGTACGTTATGTTTTCGATTTAAATTACGACTAGTAATTCCAAGAGTTAAAAGTTTGAATTTTGATATCTAGGCCGGCTTGTGCAGGTGAAAAAGACTCTTTCTTATCATTTTATTGATTACTTGTGAAAACATTTCACAAATACGAGAAAATTAGTCCGATGAAGGTTAGATCGCAAACTTCGTCGAATATGGATCTTTTTTTCTCGATTTCTCGCGCAACTGAGTAAAATTTAGCTCAATTTTCGTTGCGAATTGAATGTGAGAAGTTTACAAATATGGAAATAGCAAATTTGCATTCTCACTGTTGGAGAACAACTCTGTCTTTGTTTGAGCCCATGCCTTTCTCTGAATACAAATGTCCTCACTTTCAGCCATTCAGGGTTTCATAATTCTCAATCTAGTTATTTCACTCTTGATTACTGCTTTTTTTGCCCTCGCTAACCAAATTATAAAATCTTCACACTACATTTTAATTTTCAGCTCACGAATCCTGGATTACTGAGCAAAACTGAGGCCATTTCTGAGGCGTACAGGCTATTCCTTCTCTGGATGTGTGTGGATGGTTAATTACAATTCTAGACATCTTCATAAAATAATAATGTAACAATTTTCAATGGTCTGCGAACACACAGTCATAAATATATTGATGTAAACATGTGTCAAGGCTTGCATTTGTTAAATCAGTGAAGCCAACAGTGAAGAGAAGGCGAACGACTTATAAGGGCGAAATCGACATGATCTGTCGGGAAGATCGCTAGAACCCCGCGCCCAGTTAAAAGAATCGTCGATATTGACCAGCACTGATTACGCATGTGTACAAATTTTGCGGTGACAGCGGCCCAAGTAACGCGACATACAAGATTAATCTGCAAGCCTACTGACGGAGGGCTATTTTCGTTGTTGTGACATTTTTAATGTTGACGACGGCAACCACTTCTGCCTCAACTAGCGCGGATCCGAATGGGGCACCGGGCAACAACTATCGTGGTTATAAACAGTTGATGGAAAGATTTGACGGCTTAGTGAACTACAGTCCTTCAAATATGGACGATCCGATTGTTTTAAACGTTGCAGGCAAGCGATTTGAGACTTACGAAGAAACTCTTGCAAGATTTCCCGAAACTCTCCTGGGATCTGTGAGTCGCAGGGCCAAGTTTTACAACGCTAAACGGCAAGAATACTTTTTCGATAGACACCGATCAGCGTTTGACGCAATCCTTTATTATTATCAATCTGGAGGAACTCTCATAAGGCCCGAGCATGTCCCACCTCACGTATTCATCAACGAAGTTGTGTTCTTCGACCTACCAGAAGAGGCTGTACAAGTCGTTCAGCTGGAGGCGGGAATAGCCGATGAGCCCGAGGAACAACCAATGCCCAACAATTACTACATGGGATTAATTTGGAACACTTTGGAATATCCCAATTCGTCGAAGTTGGCCAAATTTCTAGCGATTTTTTCGGTAGTAGTTATTACTCTTTCTTTAATCATTTTTTGCATCGAGACTCTGCCGAATTTCAAGAAGCCAGCTCCAAACCCTTACGATGAAGTTTGGTTTAAACTTAACACTTTTGTCATCGTTTGGTTTACTGGCGAGTATGTCATTCGCTTCATTACTTCTCCGCAAAAATTCAAATTTCTTATCGGGGCGCTGAACATTATTGATTTATTATCCATTCTGCCTTATTACGTTCAACTTGGACTCGACGAGGACGACTCATCTATCTCTGTCCTGCGTGTGGTGCGTGTGGTCCGCGTGTTTCGTGTGTTTAAACTCTCGCGCCACTCGCGTGGGCTCCAGATATTAGGGAACACGCTCAGAGCGAGTTTAAATGAACTGGTTATGTTAATGTTCTTCTTAGCTATTGGAGTTATGATATTTGCTAGTTGCGTCTACTACGCTGAAGGAGGTAAAGATACCGATTTTCAAAGCATTCCGCACTCCTTCTGGTGGGCTGTCGTTACCATGACGACGGTGGGTTATGGAGATGTATCCCCCATCAGTTTTCCCGGGAAAATCGTGGGTGCACTTTGTGCAATCTCAGGTAAGCCAACACAGTGCGTTAACTGACAGGCACTAGGTGGGCTTTACGGCAAGTCTTGCAGTGAAATGGTTTCATCTTTTACTGTGCAAGAATTGCAAAGCCCACCAAGCTTTTCTTAAAGTTAATGAGCGCTAGGAATTTTTGTCATATATATTTTGTCTGTTAAACTCAGCCTGTTTCGTTTCGGCAACGTTTTCATGAAACTTTTTAATCAACATGTAAATTGGGCTATCCTGTTCGAGCGTATCACGAGAACAAAGATGAACACTCAATTTTTAACCGAAAGAATATGAATACAGTGGGAATTAATCTCCCAGTTTGGGAAAGACAGCACTTAAGTCAATGACTTCACAATTTTTTGCTGTTGACTTCCGAGAACCAAAAAATTGTGTTTAATAATGAAGATAGCATCTTGCACAAAGATTAGTAAGCTTCTTTCAAAAAAAATTACTTGTTTGCTAGAGGAGACCGCGAACAATTTTGTCATTCCCTCGCGTGACTCGCACGCGGAAGGTGTTTAGGTGGCTCGCGAGAGAGCATAATTTACCTTCTGTCATTCTTCTCAACTTGTGTGAATAAGTAATTGATTATGTGGGAACCTAATACAATAACTTTGTTTTGAAATGGTGGTGATGGATTATTCTACCGAAAACCCATTAATTTTACGGGAAAGAGGACAAATTCGCTTTGCTCGTTATTTTTATTAAGTAAGATAAACACAGTATTTCCTCAATATTCGTTCATTTCAATCTAAAAATTCTCAAATTTTGCCTTCAGAAGACTGCATGCTTAAATTTCTAGTTAAATATTAATTGGCTTCGGAACGCTAAGTCGATAACAATATGCGAAGGTGTCCATGCCATTTCCCTTCGCTTTAAACGTTTAAAGTCAAACTTTCATTGAATACCGACAACTATTCGTAACGGAATCTCGGTAAAGCAGCGAAGAGGATTGAAGCTGTGTAGTTCCTGACCTTAACGGAGTGAAATATAAATTCAATTACAGTTGCGCGTTGGCCCTGCAGTAAGTTTGTCATGCTCTGAAATATTTATAAGTACCTGCAGGTTGCGGAAGAATGCGATAAAAAGCTTACATTGTGAATTGTTAAGGCTCCATAACATCTTTGAGAGCGCTTCTCCAGTGTAATGAAAACATATCTCTACTTGGAATCGTCGAAATAAAAAAAATTAGTCGGTGTATTTTGGAATGAAATTATTCAACAATGCGGAAGTCGCTTTGGCCACTGCAAACTTACAATACAGATAGTTTCTTCTGGAAATACGTGATTCGCATACATAACAGAGCGCTTCAAAATTTATTACAGTTATCATCCGTTTAAATTCATTAAAAAAATTAAGGTGGCACTGTGTATGTGTGCGGGCTTCACTCAAAACTCAAGAGAACCTCTTCAAATTAACAATTGTCATAAGTAGTAATAGAGTTAGCAACCAAGCGACAACATTCTGGCGTACCGCTGAGGTGTTTAAAAATTCAAAAGTGTTTTGCACGCATACTAACTTCATGAAGTCGAAAAGATAAATTGGAATCACCATAATCTTGGTCTCGAGTGAGTGTCCTGTGTCATATAAGAAACGTTTTGACTCGTAAAGCAATCTCTAGTTGAGTCTCAAAATCTCTAATTTCATTTCGAGCCGAGGTGTTTGAAATTCAGCGGGATACTTGACCAGAGAAAACACTTTTCACAACACACTTTGCATATACTATTGAAATGACAAGAGAATGATCCACAGTATTGTTAATAAAATTAAAGTTGAAATGAGATTCGCTGCGTAATTTTCACTAATATCTCTGGTTTTCAAACTAAGAGAAGGTTATCATTCAAGGCAATGCTGCAAAAAGGAATTCTTTCAAACTCCCACGCAGATGCACGATTTAATTTGTGAAAAAAATTATCGAAGGATCTACTGCGATTGCTAAGAGGAAAGTTAAGCTTGTTTTATTGATCAGCTGTTGTTTCTCGTGGCAGCTGTTATTTCGACTAAATGCTTGCCTTTCTTCTTTGCTTTGCGAAATTTCTTCGGGAGATAAAGCATAAATATTTTTGCGCTTTAGATTTTTCCTGAAAGCCAGTTTCTACTTCAGTGTCTACGATGAAATAGTCATTGAAAAAAAAAAACTTATCGGTAAATGTTAGCATCGAACAAATATTATTGAATCAGTTTTGTTGAAATTAGACAGACGAAAATACACATTTGTTCTTCAGTTCAGAAAGATTTTATTTTGTGATTTCCTACAGAGTTACAATGTTGACTGGCGGCATTATGTTCTACTTTTTTACGTTTAAGTTTGAATGAAATTGATTACACTCTTGAACTGCTGAGATGTTATCGCTAATATTTGAATGGCTTACGGACTCCGACTATAATTTCAGTGTTATTGCGGGATGTTTATAGTTTTAAACTCAGAACATACCTTCAGGATTTCTTTCGTAATATTTACTTGAATTCGGTACCCTTTGATCCAAAAAAGGAAAATAATTTTTTCTTCCCGGCAATATATAAATCCGTCATTTTGAAAACCGCGTAAACTTGGCGGGAAGAAGGTTTCATGAGGCAACCATTTCGAACGCATATCAAACATTTCGCCGGAGATTTTTAAATTTCCAGTATCTTTGAGCGTGCGATGCCCAGCATAAAATACCGCATCCCTCAAATTTTGCCAATGCCGGACATCTTTTTCTAGGTACCTAAGTTTGCACAATTTAAATGTTTCAAAATTTCATTTTTGTTGAAGTCATTTTCATACATATTTTGTCCCAGCTGTTTCGGCTGCGCTGTCTCCTTCAACGTACGGATAACTATTTTCGTGAAATCTGATTCATAAAAGTTATACCACTATATACATATCGACGGTATATTCAGAATATCTGGAAAAAGGAATTTCCCCTTAACTTTCTACTTTTGAAAAGTTTCCTTTCATGAACCTTGACAGTATACTTTAACGAATTTTACAAAGAGCTTGAATTTATATTGAAACTATTAAAAACGCGAGTATTCGATTCTCGCTTATGCTTCAGTTCATATCTACTCCGTCTAATTAAAATTATTTTTATAAGATTTAAGATCACATAATGTGATTTTTATAGAAATACAAAATATTGCAGTATTTGGTATCGAGTGTTGCTCCATTTTCAAAATGGCGAAAATTAAACGCATATCATTAATCTTTGCACCGGTACGGGAAGAGATATCCATCACGTGCCAAACCGGGTAAATGTTTGCGGTTGTTTTGCACAGTCAGTATGCTTAAGACTGAAAAGGAAGTAAAATTGACAGTTACTGTTATCCAATGCTGGCTGTCGCAATATATCAATATTATTCATTACAAACGTAGCGATTCAAATGACCTTTATATGTATGCATTGCATACCTATCTTCTTGGATGGACAACTGCGCGCAAGTACTAGCCTCGACTTCAGATCAAGTTTACTTCATTTTTCATTGCGAAGAACGCGCTAAAAGAAATTCTACGGAAAGCCGTTCTACTACCAAGGCATTGTAGCTCTCAACTGGGGTTTAACATGATAGTTAAGTGCTACTAGATCGATAGACTGGAGGCTGTTGAAAACTTGTCCACAAAATGAATGGTTTTCCGACAAACAAATGAAACTTGCAACATTTCAAGGGTAATAAAGAAGTTTTGAGAAGATCTCTTCTAGGCGACGGAACAAACCTTAAACCATGGATTTGAACACGACGTTTCTATTGACTAATTTCTCCCTTAAAGTTTAAGGCCATTTTAATTGGTCCAGACAAGAGAACCCGCACACTTCTCTACTGGGATGGTATAGGTGTAGCACGTGACCTATTTTGACCAATCACGCGACAGAAAATTCCAAGTAAAATATAATAGTGATATAACGCGCCCACTCCAAACGAAGGAGGGGCAGAAAAATCCTGCAGTGGATTCAGTTGTCGGATACAATAAATGTGAAATAATGACAGCCATTTAATCTTGTTTTCTTATTTCTCTCGCAGGGGTGCTAACAATTGCTCTTCCTGTTCCTGTTATTGTATCCAACTTCGAGAATTTCTACAACAAGGAGATGAACCGACGAAAAGAGGAAGAATTGAAAAAAGCTGAAGAAGCTCGAGATAGAGAAGAACAGAAAAAGACTGGTACAAACAACTCCAAGAATCACATGGAGCTGGACAGCATGGACGGAAAAACTCCCAAATCACCTCGAGGAGTTTTAGTTTGTGGATTAAAAAACGGAGAGGAAAATTCTTCTGATAAGACTCACACAACAGTTTAACATACGACCGTTACAAGTTGTAAGTGAAGTCACTTGGAATTGCACATTTTGATTATATGAAATGACATTTATTCAGCGACATTAATAATCAATTTTAATACACGCAAGCTAAAGAGATTCAACTCCATTCCGGCAAGAAATGGGAGTTGAAGGTTTCCTCGCCAAAGGGGAAAAAATGACACTTTAACACAGTGAAAATGTAACAAATGAAAATTGCGAAGAACTGCAAAATTGGCGAAATTTCGACTGCGAAATATACTTGAACCAACTACGGACCGGTTAGTAACGTCACGACCTCTTCACGTGATAATGGAAGACGATACGTGGCTCCAGATATAGAACGCGTACAGACCAGAAATAGCACGTTAAATATTCCGCAATTTCATTGCGATTTATAAAAATCCTTCGAGTGTAAACTCTAGCAAGGTTCATCCAGATTATCTCACGCAAGAAAAGAAGGACGTGAATTAACAAATTAAAAATACGAGTATTAACACAAGCAAATGGAACCGAAGTCAGGGCAGTCAAGTTATCAAATGATAGCTATCAGTCTTTCAAATTCAGAATTTGTCTTCACGCTATGCTGAAGTTCGGATGATGACGCATTTGCCCACATAGACCAAAACTTTGAAAGACCTTTCAGACTAGTAGACGCAGGAATCTCAATGGGTATTTCCTATGGAAAGACTGTTTTTACCCACAGGTTCGTTAGCCCTGTACAAATCACAGTAGCCCAAAGGAACAAGTTGACTTCTGTTATTCGGCCTCTTTTCCAAGGTCTTCTTTACCGATGTGCTGGAGTGAATTTGCTTCAGTGGAACATGACATTGTTTGGAGCACAAACTCAAGCGCACAATCGTTGACGCCCTTTTAAAGCACTTGCACGTCGAACAAAAGCCAGAAAAGGGCTAACAGGCAACATTACGCCTGAAAAATGCTGATGATATTCATTTGCAGGTAAAAGGCAACCCTGTATGATTAAGCGAAATTCTGCAGAACTACCGTGACATTGAAATAAACGAACGTAGATTGATCATCACTACACACAGCACAGGTAGCTCAGGCTCAGAAACGAAGCAAGCGCGCCATTTGTTATACGGGGAAAAGGTCCCGAACAGCGATGGCGGACTTATCTGTCTTGGCCTACTCGTCAAGATGTTAAATAGTACGGAATATAAAACTGAAATCAATTTAGCCAACTGAGGTCAATAATCGCCGTGAAATAAAGAAGGTAAATTTATTATAGATGCACAGCGCAAATTTTAATATTAATGTATTCGTCACACGTGAGCTAGGTGAAGTTAGCGAATTAACTTGTAATACCTGTTTCTCGTGTCAAAAATAGTCTCATTCAGAAGTCCAATAAATTATTATGCGGTATTCTGGGTTCACAAATAATCGTTCCTTAGTTACTCAATACCGCACAGCCAGGTTATAGCTATAACTCGTCTAATTCTAGGTCTGAGAAGGCTTGCTTATCGCTGAATTTGAAAGTAAAAATTCTAGACTGTGCGGTATTCAGATATCAAAAGAGGTGCCTTAGACAGTGCTTACTAATATGCACGGAAGTCTCTTTAAATGGCAAAACGTTTACCACTCAGAGACCTTAAATAGCGTAGATAGTGTTTAAGGGATGGTTTCATAGCTCGACGCATGTGCAAGCTGCAACGTCTTGATTTCTATTGTTTATGAACCAATTAGGTGCGAGTAGATGGCTCACAGGTGTGTTCAGAATAAACACGGCTTTGAGCTGAATAGAGCTGTTTTCAATTGAGTGTCGTAAAACCAAAACCAAACCAATTACTTACTAATTAGACTATTCAGCCAATCTCAGACTGTAGTAAAACCAAAACCAAAACCAAAGTAATTGCCTGACTCAATTGAAAACTGCTCCAATAAATTCGATGTTCAACACTTAATTCAGCATTTTCTATATAAACTCACTAACATCTTCGGTAAAATTTGGCATCAGGCATTTGCTTGCACAAATTATAGTCTGTGGTTGCAGAACTACACGAGGTTCAGAATGAAAGCGAAAAATTCACCATGTATAGCCTGCACATGCGCCAAACCGTGAAACTAGCCCTTTGATGCTGCAAAGTAATACCGTTACACGATTAATTGATGAACATTTAGTCACGCAACTCTCTTTGGGGTGGAAACAATTTCTAAGGGTACAGTTATTAATATACTGAATACCTGAAGTGAGTAAATGACCTATACAATTTTTTAAAACATAACACAAGATCTTGGAGTCAATCTGTCGATTCTAATTGTCGTTATCACTGTCAACGCTATTATTTAATATTGTGTATAAAAAATTAAATAGTATAAATTCTCTATAAAGCACGAAGGCACATCGTGGAATTTGAATTTTTTTCGGTTATTTTTAACGAGCTTGAAATATTTGCTTACTTATTTGAATTGATGGAAATTAATTCTTTTTTGTGCTTTATTGAAAAACTTAAGTCTTCTCAGGGCAGGGCACAACTTTCCTACACAAAATCATGTTTATCTGGCTCGTTAAGAGAATTAGATTCATATCAGGAATATGAATTAGATTCATATCAGGAATATGAATTAGATTCATATCAGGAATATGAATTAGGGAAGATAATCATGGGACATTTGTATTCTATAATTTATTCAATCTCAGCGGTCGTAACGAAACAAAACATGCAGACTATGCTGGAATGAATTTTCACAGATTATGCTTGGTTTAATTTTGTGTCATATTTTTGTAGAATATTTTGGTTCTACTTTAAATGTGCTGACGTCGCAAAAATAGTTACCCGTTCAAAGAATTGAAATAGGAACAACTTTACACCGACTTTTCAACTTTCAGCCTTCTCAGAGAGGTATAATTCGGTTTTCATAGCAAAACCGAACACCCAATTGATGTTGTAGTGTAAATTACCCCCAAAGAGTCCGACGAATTCGTGAGATTGACTGTGAGATAACCTAAAATTGTACTTGACGATTTTGGCCTCCTCACCAAAATAATGATTAGCTCAGAGTAACCATGCGCTATAGAAAAACAAACTCAAGTATGACCTAGCAAAACTGAAAAAGCAAACTGGGAAATCTTCAGATAGGCTGGCAAAGTATGGCTATGTCATTAAAAGGAGATATATCAGAGTAAACTTAACAGAAATGAGTTCGATAAAATTATTCCCGGTGATAAAGAAGAAATATCGTAGTTATTGCCTTTTTATTTTTACTGCATGTTATCATTAACATGGTGTGTTCATTGAGAAATCTACGTTGATATGGTAAATTGACTCAACTGGTGTCATGAATTTTTACAGCCATAGAGCGGTTTTCACTTGAGTATCGAAAAGTTCTTGGTTTTGCTTCATAAGTTTTGCATTACTATGCTATAAATCTAGATCTCGCTTCACTCTGTCATCCAGTTAATCAGAAGTAAACCAAAATTCGTCCACACACGTTTTCCCGCGCTTTTCGTCAGCTTCATGTATTTACTTCAAGTTTTGATTGGTTCATTGAATTGTTTCTGTCCTTTTTGATTGGCCAGAGTGATAACTCTGGTTTTGGTGTTACTTACTTGAAAACCGCTCTAAGGAGAAAATAGTAGCGTCTGAGAGAGAAAAGTACTGACTTTGTTCCTTTAGATCAAAACTTGCTTAGAGATACAAATAAGCATAATTTACCTTTGGCATCGATAAACGATGAAGAGGCAATTAGACGTTTCTACTGGTTTCAATTTCACGACTTACGCTTTGTCATAGTTTCAACTGAGACGGCAGGTTCGCCTCTTAAGAGTCAGCGGCATCAGTGCGCAAGTCACACCTCGTACCCAGTGTCTCGTGGCGTCAGTTCAAGTCTAAGGATGGTGCTGCTGAATTTTAAACGTCAGACACGACCTTGGAAAGAAAGTTGCATCAAGCCCGGAGTTCGGTCACTTTAACAAACTATTTTAAAATTTCTTAGTGTTAAATTATTGAAACTTATGGGGCACCGTCGTCTATTTAAACGGTTTTGAACAGTTTAAAAATTACCTAGATTATAACTAGAAAACCTGGCAACAACGTGTTTATATCTAGTTAGCAAGTATGGAACCAGATTGCGATAGTTGAAAATGCTAGACTAAGTTATTCAATTTGTCAAAATCGTTTGCAACATGGAGTTGAATACATTTTCTACAGTCTAGGTTTAGCTGGTGAAAGTTCTCCTTACAAAGTTAATTGATTTCCAACAGAGTTTTATTCGTCATAATATTTTTCACCAGAATTATTCATTCTCAAGCACGTGACCGAAAACTCGGCTATTATTGGTTGAGGCATTTGCACACGCGGCCCTGACGTTACTGTATATTAGAGCAATAATTTCAAACATTTTTAAATTTCAAATTTTATATTGCAATTTAAGTCGTAGGTTAACAGATCGCCCTGGTATAGCGGGGCGCATCTGCAACTTATTTCGACTGAATTTTATTCAATAAAACCTTTCAAACTTGTTGTTGCCTTTGTGTAGTATATATGTAACCAATATGGCCTTTACTTAGACCTAGCTATTGCTCATGCTAGCGATATAACAACATAATGACATCACGACATAATTTCACTATCGAGCTTAAAATTCATGTGAACTCAGTTAAATAACATTGCCCTCCATGAGTTCTCGTAGCTCGGTGGATAGTGCGCCCGCCCGGTGTCCGGGAGGTCACGGGTTCGACTCCTGTCGGGGACTCAAATTTTTTTCTTTGTCCCATGCTCGTGTCTTGTTGATCAGTTCACTCTTCACATTTTATTACCGAGCTTAAAATGCACCATCTTTAATCACTTATCGCAATCGCTCATGTCGGTAATGTGAACATCTACGTAACGACGTAAGGAAAAGATCAGTTTTTTTTTCCTTACGTCGATAAGTTCATGCTGTTATGTCAGTATGTCAGCATGTTCACACTGCCAACATAACCACATAACGTCGTTCGTATGCCGCTATGTTTATGTCGTTATGTCGCAAGCTGGGCCCTGAACGTCAATTGACGAGTTTATATGACAGCACGTTTTTGATGATAGTCTTATTTTACTCTTTGTGAGTAACTGGCATGCTTGAGTTGTCTGAAGGGTCATGTCATTAAGATTATGAGAGCCATTGCGGCATCAGATATTATGCACACCCACTTTTTCCTTGGAAAATTTCACAACGGAATGACTGACTCATGACTTACTCGACGCGATCCTCTTCGCTCCGACCGGGGCATAGGGCCTCCACTACAGCTTTCCATCAGCCCGGTTTTGTGCGGTCCGTTTCATTTGATTTCATGACATCCCCAAGTCCTCATGCTCCTGCTGTATACTGAGTCCTTCTCCGTGAATTCTTCTGTTCGCCTTTCCTCCTATATAGCTAGCCCCCTGAGGGTTCCACTCAAGGGACAGGCGGGTAATGTTGGTGGCAGGTTTCCTTAGAGTGTGGCCAATCCATCTCCATTTCCGTCTCCGTATGGTAACTTCAATTCTCTCCTGCCTGGTGCGCTGCCACAACTCGTCATTCGAGATCTTTCTTGGCCACCAAACCCTTACGATCATAGTGTACCGGATCCTACGGTTAGTGAAGGTCTGGTGTTAGTCTCGAGGTCTCGGATCCATAAAGCAGAACTAAATCTGCCAACTTCACGTTGAAATGAATCATAGCTGTACGAAATTCATCCCGAGTCCCTCTTGTGTCCTCGTACTCTCTTACAATCTAAGTGCCTCTCTCAGGCCCGGGGGCCGGGTTGTTCAAAGCCCGATTAAGCTAACTCAGGATAAGTGAGGATTTTGATTCCATTTTTGTAACTTTTTGGTATGGTTTTCGGTTTATATTGTTTGTCCTTCAGTTTAGAGTTTAAATAATCCAAAGTACACAAAATATAAACAGTGAAAAACATTTGTGATACAAGATAAATTAATACTTCGGTTAACTTTTAATCCTGGGTTAGCGTTAACTGGGTTTCGAACAACCCACCCAGAAGTATCAATAGGTATTGTTGTTGGGACAAGCAGATATAATGCTGGAGAGTAACCTACATGGAATAGCCTCCTATCCAGTGGTAGCCTGTGAACAGGCCGGCTTGAAGGGTCTGATCGCGGCCTGAAGAACAAAGAAAGAACTGGTTGAGAGTAAAAATAGTGTGGGGGCTAGAGCGTCGGAGCTCTCCCCTCCTCCGCCATCTATCCTCTTCCCTCCCGCTTTCCCTTCACCCCATCCTCGACTATCTCGTTTTCACTGGAGTGATCGAAAAATCGCTGTATATGTACCACTTACTTTTTCATACTATTCCCATGCTCCTTGATGAAACACGCAGTCTTAACGGTGGGAAATGAAATAGAACAGTCCTCCCCACTGAAAGGTTTATACAAATGCTGTCAAATGGTACACATTCATACCGTCTCATTTTGATCGTTGAAAATTTGTACTGTTCCATTTGGCGGAAAATTCTCACCGTTTTTTCTACGCCAATATATGAAAGCGCTCTTGGTCACCCCACGCACGCGACAAGTAAACGGAAAGCTGTCTAGCTTATAAATTGGTCGATTTTAAATCTTTTGGCCCTTTGAAATCATACACGCAATTTACATAAAAAAGAAGAAACATGCATGTATGTTGGGCGGAGGCTGTATGGCCAGTGAATCAGGCCAGTTGGCAGATAGTAAACTGAAATGAGGGGGAAAATTGGGAAAATTTAAATGACTTTTGTATAATGACAAGCATGGAGACAGCACAATGATATTATGTTACGTGGCTCATTCAGTATTAATGATATGATATGTCCTTCTTCTGTCTGTCTTCCCTAAACTGGAACGACCGCTAATTTTTGTGGCGAGCGGAGCTTTCGTTTGGTGACACGCAGCAAGCCTGTTTAGTAAGAAAAATTTTAGTAAAATAACCCACAAATAAATGATTGATTAAAATAATATTAATAACTAGCCAGCGAACAGGCTTGAAGGGTCTGTCGACAGCGGCTGGAAGGACCGAGAAGGAACTGGAATTCCCCCGAGGGGGGAATTTATCGGCCTTTTTCTCTTCGCCCCATCCTCGACTAGAGGGTCTGTCCACAGTCTAAATAATAACGTGACTTTTTTTTCCTTTCTTTAAAATCGCCATTAGAAGCACTATGGCTTGTGTTTGTCTACGGTAAACATTCGTGGCGCCTAGTTTCTGTGAATACCGCTGCCGTGAATTAGCGGAAATATTTGAACTACGAGTCGAAAAGCACTTTCCTTTAGAATTTCTTGTCATTGCTAACGTCAAAATTTTTATTAAGACAACAAGTAAGTTCGTGCGACTTTTTGTCACGTCGTATGTTAGTGTCGAGCAATCGATCGGTGAAGAAAGAGCTGGAAGATGAATAAATTATTTATTCAATGCAGGATCGTGACGTCACAACATGCGGGGTATCGCGTTATCACGCGTGAGGAAAACGAGAAATACTATCACGCCTGGTCGCTTTCAAAAACGCGATGTAAGCGTCGCAAATGTCCGACTAAACTGAGGGTACAATGGCTGTGGAAATCGCCATTATGAAGATATTGAGCATCGGAAAGTCTTGTTCGCGATTTAAGTGGGAGACAAATTAAACTAGCAACAATGGGCTCTGGATCTCGAGCGATGCAGACGAGACTCATAGATTATCTTGTTGTCGTTGGTGTACGCAAGCCAACTCTCGATTCCACTGAGACGCCGGAACTTTTGCGCCGCTTTCCGCAGAAAGACCACAAAGATTTCGTTCTACCAGGAGATGTGGTTTTCTTTTGCCAGCCTGAAGGATGCAGCACAGTGTCAAAGAAGTTCTCTCTTCGAGAAGCGAATTCGTTTGCGTTCACGTTAACTGAAAAAGACTCTGGCAAGGTTCGTTATGGGATTTGTGTCAATGTGTTTCGTCCCTGTTCGAATTTTGTGTACAAAGACCGAGGTGATGGCAAGGAAAATACGCTGACCATCCGGAAGAGATCTCGAAGTTTTCACAACAAACGGGATTTTTGTATGAGCTTGACATCCTTGTGTATCATCTCGCATCATCCTTTCTTTCCGACCTTCAGGGAGTGCCTGTTTTTCCTTCGTAAAATGATCGACTCCAGAACGGGAATCGGTGGCAAAGGTCTGGATAAGAACGACAACGTTGTACCAGGACTACATAGCTGGTCTGTGTTTACTTGCACAGAGGATCAGAAAACAAGCCATTTGGCCCGCGACATGGAGGAGGTAGAAACCTGGATTCAACGCCTGCTTCTCGCTCAGGCTCCCATGCCAGGCAGAACAAGAGTCGAACTTCATCTTCATTCGCCCGACTCCTATCCTCCTTTGACTTTTGCTATACCGGAATTGAACCGATTTTCGCTGGTAGATTTTCCAATTCATATACCTTTGGAGCTTCTTGGCGTAGAAACATGCCTGAAGGTTTTAACGTGCATTTTGCTAGAGCACAAGGTGAGTGTTGCTTCCATCCTCAATCCAAAACAAATAGTGGTCGATCTTGCCGAGCAGGTGGAAATTGAAAAGTTTAGAAGCGTACAATCCTCACTTTCGGGCTGTGGTTTTATTGAAGTGAAGTGTAAATTTGCAGGAGATAAATTTCAGCTAATTAGCAGCACTTTTATATAAAGTCCCAAGGGGAACTCGGGAGAGAAGGAAACACAATTTTAAAGTAGTAAACATTTTTGCAAGCTTGTGTCATCTCAGTAAGACTAATTTACTAAATCGTTAATTTGGCAGAAAAATTGTGGCAGATTTTGATCTCTACGCTGTTAAATTTGTATATTCTCATTTGAATTTTAACTCGTACAACTTAAAATATGAAACATAATAAACGAGAAAATATTCGGAATACTTTTGAATAAATCTTTCATTCACCTGTACTGTCTTGAAACTTGAGTTTGATTTGTTGACAATACGCGGTTTAGAAGCCGTATTTGTTTACACTAGGAATTTGTTGATCTTGCCGAATTAAATGACCAGTGCTCGGTTTTTGTTTGCTTTATGAGTAAACATTGGCGAGTATGACTTTACTGAACAAAGAAAATAGAAAATGATATGAAAAAAATGAACATAATTTTTTCAGAATCAAAATGGTTTGGGGATATAAAACATGTCGTATTTATGCACAGTCAGCGAATTCTGTAATAAATTGTTTGTCCATTATTTTGCATTAAGGTTCTCTTGAACTGCTCAGAGATCGAATGTTTTATATGTACAAGGGTACAACAAGAGTTCTATTCTGTCTGGGATCGTACATTCTCTCAGCAAATGGTGTCTACAATGAAATTTTTCTAGTCATCTAATAATATATTCTCAGTGAAAATTATAAAACGACAATGCTAAAATGTAGGCTATAACAAGTACAGTGCTTGCTGTTTTTACAATTGTAACTTGTCACCATTTGACAAAGCCAGAGAGAGCCTTCCTAATAAATTATCATTATTTTAATCTTAAAGTAACTAAACTTAACACTGTGAAAGTTGCCATGTCATTGCAGCCTGATGCCATGAAGTATTTCATTTGCTGAACCAACATAAAAACTGACGCCAACAGTTTGACAGCTGTGAGAGCTAACTCACCTTCAATGCCAACAAACTGAGAATAATACTATTTGTTTTGTACAGCATAACTTCTACTATAAACAAACAAATTATCACGTGTTGTGTCGTAGTACTGAGTAGAGGGCTATAATTGAGCAAGCAAATTTGGCTAGTAATTTTAAATTGGCAGAGAGCTTGTAATGCTATTGTGATTTTAAATTACTCTATGTTGTGAGGCAAGGAAAAGAGACAGTGTTATGTACAAATGACAGAGAGAAAGAGCGTGAAGAAAATCCATTAAATTATGTACGTATGGGTTATTGACAGAGCAGTTAATATGGCTGGATATGGACTGAGATGGAGTCGAAAAAAAAGAAGAAAAAATGAGACCAATATCCAGCCATCTTGACAGAACAAGCTTGGTCAGTAAAGGATTGATTATGTGGCATTTGGGGAAATGTTTCCTGTGGGACACAGCAGGTGGTCCTGAACAGGCAGGATGGCTCTATCTTGCCCCTTCAGTTAGCCAATCGCAGCGTAGGATTTGGTTCATCTTGCCCGCTCACGGAGCTAGCCATATAATAAATGTACATTATTGAGGCCAAATGCTGCAGGTGAAAATTTCAAAGATTCGGTAGAGAGAGTTTAAAAATTGGGAGGCAAAATGCTGGGTCATGGAGTGGTGTTCTACCCATGACAATCTGACAGAATGCTTGGGAGGGGGCGCAAGGGAAGGAGTAGCCTGTAGTGGACAAGTATATCACCCTTTCTGGGAGGAACAGTACTGCTTGTCACTTAATGGCATGAAAACCAAAACAAGCCATGGCTGCAGCCTGGGCCATTTAAGATGACTTGATGTTTGGACACCTGACAGGTTTTACTTTTGATATTTCTACAGGTTGTAATTCAGTCCAGAGATTACAATGCCCTGACCATGAGTGTAATGGCCATCACGTCTCTTCTGTACCCACTTGAGTACATGTTTCCAGTCATCCCTTTACTACCAACATGCATGAACAATGCTGAGCAGCTGTTATTGGCTCCCACTCCATTTGTGATAGGCGTGCCTGCAAGCTTCTTTCGTTACAAGTCTGAAGGATTTCAGATGCCTGGAGATGTGTGGGTGGTCGATTTGGATTCTAACAAGGTACAGATATACAAGTACATTTGCATACAACAGACAATTTTAAGGTGATCGTGCCTTCAAAGTGAAATTCAAGAAAGTGTTGATGTAACATGGACTTTTAACATTCACAACATATTAAAGTTTGACCTTGTTGTCAATGCTTTTGTTGTTTTTACAGATCACAGTTCCTTTGACAGCAGATGAGCTGCCTCCATTGCCTCAACCAGAAGGTGCAGTGCTGATCAAGAATTTGAAGCTGGTAAGTTTGTAATTTACATTTCTCACAGACCACTAGGAGACAACATCATGTCATGTGTGCTTCCACTATCTGTTTGGTAAACAAACATAGTCCAGCACAGTTTTGTTTAACTGAGCCCTACATGTACATGTACATGGTGGAGGCATGTTGGCCTCAAGGTAAGAGTGCTCACCTCTGGATCAATCAAGTGGTCTGGGTTCGAGCCCTGACCAGGGACATTGTGATGTGTTCTTGGGCAAGACACTCGCAAGACTCTCACAGTGCTTCTCTGCACCCTGGTATATAAATGGGTACTGGCAAAGTTAATGCTGGGGTGCAACCCTGCAGTGCACTAGTATCCCATCCAGGGGGGAAAAGAAATATTCCTAGTCACTTCATGCTACTGTTGGGCCATGTGGATTGTATGCAGACTTAACCTTTTTACATGTGCACGACACTCACAGAAGTCTTTCCATGACAGGCTCTTCAAGCACTCAGTATGCCACCACAGACTGTGATAAATCTAAATCACTCTGCTATCCTGGATGATCTCAGTCCCTTGACTCCTCCTGGTGTGAATGGTACCACAGCACCAGTGTATGGGAATGATGTGGATGCAGTCGACATAGCTGTGAGGTTTGCAATGGTGAATTTTTTTTCATCACCAAACATTCTTGGAGGTATCAAAGAACACACAAGAACTCTGAGTCTATACTCTCGCCCTGTTGTGGCACTCCAGAGAGGGCCATTCTTGAAGTCAAGACCAGAGCTATCTGATTTTGTTGTCAGACTTTCAGAGAGCCAGGTAGGTAAAAGAGTAATATTTTAATGCTATAGAGTTTGGTTACTGTACTAAATTATTATTTTGATTGTGACCTATTTTGATAAGGATTATGTAAATCAAAGAGGGCGTATATCACTCTTTGAGCTGATTTTTATTTTTTGCAGGATTGAGCTAATTTTTGGCAGACTGACTTGTTTTGATATGAAAAGCATTGTTCCATAATTGTTTTTGTTGATTTCCACTTTGTTTTTGAGAAATAACATTTGCAAAAAACTCAGTTTTCTAGCATCTTTTGGAGTAAATCCTTCAAAGTTGGATTTCCACACAACACGAACTTAACAGTTACTTTTGGCAGCTTCGACAGGACAGTTTTATTGAAATGGATGGCTTGGTTTTTGAAAGAAGTAGAGAAATAGACTAGAAAAAAAAATTGACTGACGCACCGGTGCCACAACAAAACAAACTTGAATCTGGCCCATTCAGCGCCTTATTCACTTGCGCTAACGAAGCAACAGTAAGAGATTAGCCTAATTATAATAAAATTTGTATCAGTTCAAACAACTAGAAGAAATGCCACACTTCGGTGACTTCATCGTTTAGCGAAACAAAAGGTTTCTTTTGTTTTTCATTCAACAATCTCCAAAAGATGCCCTTGGAAAACTGAGTTTTTTGCATTACGTTATTTCTCGAAAACAAAGCGCAAATCAACAAAAACAATTATGGAACGTTATTCATGTCAAAACAAGTCAGTCTGCCAAAAATTAGCTTGATCCTGCAAAAACTGAAAATTGGCCCAAAAAGAGATACAGTATATGCCCCTTTTGGACGAAATCCTTCATTTAATATTGTACTCTCTAAAGTGTCCATTAATATAATTATTTTGAACCACTCTTAATCTG